TTAGGCACCGTTTGGCAAATGGTTAAGTGACGGGTTAATGAGACTTAGCACATTCCTTAACCCGCCAAACACAAAAAATCTATACAACGGTTAAAGTGAGTTAACCCTCCATAATTTGTCAAATATAAAAAATATAGGATGGTTAAACTAATCCCATTAATTAGAGGGATTAAAATGAGTTAACCCTCAAAATAAGAAGTTTGCTAATACTCCTATTTAGAATGATTAATAGTTAATTCTTCTAATTATAAAGAAAATAGTCAAAATTCTTGTTATTCCCAAACACTAAAAATGATCACAATGGCTAAAATAAAAGTTATATAATAATTTAGTCTTTCGGATTATCAAATAGATTAACTATGTTAATCATTCTCATTAATTAGTCTCGAGAGGGAGCCATAGAGAGTAAGTAAGTAAGTTGAGGCTACCTGCTATTATATTCTGGTAAGTAGACACGATCTCAAACAACGGAGTCTCAACACCCGGCCGCGGATCCGCCCCGACGACCACCGCGGCAGCACCGTCGCCAAACAGCACTTGCACGACCAGGTTCTGAATGTGATCCTCACACGGCCTCGAAAGCCGTTAACGATCGGCTCCGAGCAGACACGAGCACACGGGCACGCCGTTGTTCTCGGCGAGGTCCTTCGCGAGGCGAAAGAACGCTGCCCCCGCCGAAGCAGCCTTGCTGGTACAGCATGAACCTCTTGGTGGACAAGGGGAGGCGAGGAGCTTGACGAGCTCGTAGTCGGCCCGCGGCATCGAGGCGCCGGAGCTGTTGCAGACGACGAGGTGGGTGATGTGAGGAGATGGGTTGGCCCCAGTCGGCTATGGCCTTTCTGGAGGCTTCGGCGGCGAGGGGCGGGTATGAGGACGTCGAGTGAGGTCTGGCGGGCGTGAGAGAGAGGGGAAGTCGTACCTCATATGAATTTTTTTTCTGCAAACTCGGTACTTTTAAAAGTGATATGATATGATATGATATGATATGATTGATTGTCACATCTATTGAAAATTATTCCCTCGTAACTAACTTCCTTATCCCTTGTTATTATGGTTTCTAAACCATGCGAAGCAATAAACTTAACTTGCTTATTCATTTGCCCCAACGGGTAAAGCGAAATTGAAAAAGTAAATTTGTTTGCTTATTCTCATTCTACATTGAAGGCACTGAAACTACAAAAATGGGGGTATTCCAATATTTTTCTGCGAATTTCTTAATAATAAAAGTTATTGGAGAACTAAAGCATAGGAGTATCAAAGTTAAATGACATTGAAACTTTATGGTATTAAAGTGTCAAAAAAATCGCAATACACTAAAATACGGAAGGTGTGAACTTTAGTGTACCTAAAAGTTTGAAAAAATAAGCGTTAATATCAATTTATTAATAGGTCTTTCTAATAACAAGTATCTTTATCTCAAGTAAGAATTATCTTGTGCATTTTTAATTTTAATGGTATGAAGCTTTCAATTAGTTCGATCGCGATCGTGCTAGCCTTAGTGCCCCTACTAACAAGTAGGAATCTTAATAAGACCATGTCTATAATAAATGATGTGATCATACCGTAGATAGAGAGTTATACATTCCAAAATTCACGGCCTCAAGTACCATGAATGATATTTATCCATCATCTTTTTCTATTGTGGCTGTTGTGATAGGAATCATAACTCCTCTGTCTCACTAATATCCAACCTTAAAATATAATTCATTTAAAAATGGAAATTAGAATTAAAGAAAAGTTTCAATAACTAGTGTGTAACGCAAAACCAAGACAAGTAGCTCTCATTTAAAATAATAAAAATTAAAGCTTAAAGAAAAGTCTTCAAACTAGGAATGTTATAAGAACGCATGTCTATAATAATGAGGTGATCTATACATAGATGAAAAGAGTTTAAATTCCTAATTAACCTCAAGCTACCATGAATGATATAGACGCATTAATTTTTTCTATTGCGTGTTCAGTGTTCTGATAGAATTATTCTACCTTCTACTACAGTATTTAACCTTAGTTATAATCACTTTAGAATAAAAATTAGAATAAAGAAAAAATTTTCAAGAACTAGTATGTACCAGAAACTTGAGACAGCTGGCAGCCTCATTTAAACACAACGAAAAGTCTTCAAAACTAGCAGCGTAACCAAAACCGAGTTAGCAGCTCCATGCAGTGCTTTGGAGTTTGCTTAAAAACTCTTTGCATTAATGCAACTGTTACCTAACATAATAATGACATGTTGAAAATATGCATATGCATTTTGTGCATCTATCATTAATGTATATAACTAACTGCTTAAAAACTCTGCCATAAAATGCAACTGTTAAAAATGTCGCATGCATTTAGTGCCTCTATCAATTTAATATATGCACTAATATAAATTTCCTGCAGTAACATGTACTTGATTGTGATAACTTGAACTATACATTCTGAACCATTTCTTCGTAAATTTGGCCATCAAAATTGAATGAATCGTTTAAAGATACACGTTATGTTTTCTGTAATTTTTCAGTGCAGGCATTATTATTACTTACTCTTAGATGTTTAGTATCCTTGGCATTATTAATTTACTATTACAAAGTCAACTGATTTGGCTCTCTAGTCTCTTCTCATCACACAATTGCGGGTTGAGAAAATCAAAATTGCACGCTTCTACATTAAAAATGGCCTGTGTTTTGTCCGGCCCGCTGCAATTACTCGTGAGTAGGACTGGCCCAACGCAAACCCCCTTTTGAGGGCCCCAACTTGTGTTTGGTGTCCGGGTTGCAATTCCGCGTTGTCTATACAAATCCATTTAAGTAAGTAATTAAAAATGGGGCCCCAACTTGGGGCCTCAATCATTTGAAGGCTGAGGGAACGCGGCTCTAAAATTCCACTCCTGCGGTCCTCACGGGTCACTTATCATCACGCAACAAAGAGAGAAGAATTTGTCTCTTAATACTTTGTTTTGAACCAGACTAATCTTTAGGGTCTAGTGAGATTATTTCTCATGTTTTCAAAGTCTATTATTCATGACTTTTAGAGATTGAAATGTATTTTTTTTTTAAATTTGGGTCCACATAACACCTAGTATACTCGTCGGAGAAATTGCTTTATGGTGAACAAATCACAAGGTGTGGCGACATGGCCGAGGCGTAATCAGTCCATTAAGAAATTCGCCCCTTCTCGGTGGCAGAACGGCTGCAGTGACCCGCTTTCTTCACCATGACTCAAACGCGGCAAACACCACCTGTTAAGGTGCACTCAGAGTCAACCTGTTCTAACAAAGAACATCAGAATATATCTCTCTCTGACAGGAAGGAAAGATAGAAGCAGCAAATGTTTTCAAGTGTTATCACTTAGGAGATCAAATCTCTATTTTAAGATGAACCATGTTGGAATACCAAATGTTAAACTACTAGGGAAGCACCAAGGTTGAAATAATAACAAACGTTTTTTCTTTATGTATTTGAAATACACAACAATCGCCCACTATTTCAAAATACACAAAACTCGACATCATTTGGAAGCACGAATAACAAAGGAAATATGTCAGAGAGAATCGATGGTACAATGCAATTAGATATTAGTGGCCTTTCGACTTAAACTAGTCCTAGGACAATGAATCTTATCTCACAAAAACATGGTAAGAATAAATTCTTAAGGCCAATATCCCCTTGAGCGTGAAATAGAGGACTCACCCCACACACACACCTTCATTATATCGATGTTCATGCGGGTGTGCGCTATTTTGGCCCTAGCCTTCCCGTGCTTCATGAGTGCTCTAGAGTACGTGCCTGTAGACGGTAAAAAAATACCTCTGATGAGCCTACAGGAAATTCGCCACGAGAAGTCGCCTGCCTAAACCGCATGGCCGTCAAATGTGCTCGGTTCCAGATTCGCCTGAATAATCGACATCGCTTGCACGAGTTGAGATCAGTTGGAATAGCGGAAGTCCGCCTCTTACGCGATTCGCACTGCCCGAGTACAAAGACGAATCCGCCTGCAAACCTCAAGGCCATCAGTACAGCTGGTATCCGCTACCCGCACACGTGCTGGGATGGGCCATCCCATCTCTCTCTCGACCTGAAGGAGAGGGCAGCAGTACGCCAAGACCTCAAGCGCCGCTCACAGTAACGCACAGCACGAAGGACTGGACAGGTGTCGAGTCAACCTGAGCATTCATAATGCGACTCCACCTCGGCTGTCTCAGTCAAGAGCTGGATCCGCCGGCACTCGCAAGTTGGCTAGACCACTCGAGTACTGTGCCACCTACTTCGCCGCCTCTCCTGACCGGAAAGGAGAAAACAACCGTGCTCAAAGCACGCCGGACGGTCACCACAGTACGAATGATCGACGGACGCCTCATCACTCTGCGAACTCATAAATGCGGTTCATTAATGCTGGTCAGATCCACTCGGTAGCAGACGGCCGTTGCCTCATATGCAAGGATGGGCCTTCCCATTTTAGGTGACAGGACATAAAGCACAATCCCTCGAATGACCATTCAATGGTATCGAGGAGCAGCTAGACGTTTCTGAAGAAGATATGGTCACATCCCATAATTCAAGGGTGAGTCAAGCTGTCGCTTCTTCCATTTAAAAGCCCCTTCCAGCACACTGAAGAGAGGTTGTAAACTTAGAGAAAAAGAGTTGAGACCGAAGCTCTCTGCATAATCTTTACATTGCAGCACCACTGTTTAGTTCCGAGCTCCGCATCGCGGCGAACTAAGCAGACCCGAACTCCCTCGAGTTGAGCTTTCTACTGCGAACTGAAGCTCTCCAGCAACCTCGATCGAATGTCCAAGGGAAGCAGACTCGACACGAGCATCGAGCGAAGCGTCCTATAGCCACCTAAAGTCCCCACATAAAACAAAGAGGGTATTCCCCTCTGCTTCTGTTGTAACCATTTGATTATTAGTTTGTAATAAAGCTTTCTTATTAATACAAACGAACATTCCCTGTTTTCGGGAAATCAAATTTACACCATACAGTGCCTAGGTACCATAAGAACCGACTGTTTGTAGGGAAAAATAAAGAAGAAAAATAGAGAATTGAAATTTGTATGTATTATCTCTAACAGACTTAGAAAAAGAATTAATTAAAATTCCTCTCAATGTAATCCCCTCTTTAACAGACTTAGAAAAAGAATTATAAATCTTCTCGATCGGATTCCTGATTTACAAAAGAGATAAAGATCGACAGAGACCTTTCCTTTTGTTTAAGCTGAGTTCTTCTCGATGGGGGTTCAGATCCTTTGTATCCATTGACGATTCGAAACGTGTTGGCTTCGTGGAACAAGGTTAATTCCTCTTTCATTGACGTTAAGGAGAAGACTTGCGAGCTTTGTGTTTAGATTCCAAAATTATTGCCATTGAAAACGCTAATATACAGTCGTGCGGGTATATGGAAACAGTTAAATCGACCATATATGGAAACAAATTGTCGCTGCGCGTACAAGTTGGCCACCACATATGTGAGTATTAAATCGACCAAATTAATGCGTGGTCGATGGATAAATGAGACAGAGCATAATACGCATCTAAGCAGCCACAAAGACAATGTCAATTATGCCCTCGATCTACCGTAATGAAAATAACTTGCGGATACGAAACACCATAGGCTCCACATTCTCTACATCTTACGTCGATCAATAGTGGTACTGCTTCGCTCATTAAGTCTTGAATTAAAAGATATTTTTTATGTATATGATTCGAATGAGCAATATAATCCCCGGGGTACGTACACAAGACATGTTATTTGAAACTCGTAAATCTATAGTCAGTCATTGTATGAGTATTTTTTTTTTGACACAATTGTTCGAGTATTGAATTAATGAATATATTATAGTAATTGATAGCACAAAATTAATAAATAATTTATGACAAAAGAGAAAAATAGATGTGATCGTGGGGGCCACATCCACGAGCGCGGAGGCAAGCGGAGGCAAAGCAGAGCCCAGGAACGTGGGGGCCACATCCACGAGCGCGGAGGCAAAGCAGATCCCAGGTGCGGGTGCGGCCCACCAAAGTCTAGGCTCTCCTATAAATATCAGTCGGCTAGGGTTTCTGCAGGTAGGAGAAAAAAAACAATAGAGGGTTAATTTTTTTTCTTTCGGCTACAGAGAA